GCATGCATGTAGGCCGCTACATGCATCATCACTTCTCACATCTTTTACAGTAGTAGACAGTACACAGCAACCTTTGAGCTTGATTACTTGACTTTTTTTTTTTTTTTTTTTTTTTTTTTTTTTTGTTTTTTGGTTCAGTAAAAATGGAAGAGCTTCGCTTGGTGATAAATCATGCAATTTACATAACAAGAAAGTCGCATATACTCACAAGCAATACACACAGACAATAGATTCAACTTTGTAAGATATCAAAAGAAATAAGAGCGGCAAATCAAAATATATAAATATATATAATTAAAAAAAAAAAAATACACCACCAATGTTCGTAGGCATGAAACAACAATGTTTTTTCTTTTTCACCCCTAGCTCACATCATCACCAAACCTTTTAAAGACACAATATAAACATACTCCAGCAGGACCTATCATAGCTTCCGAATAAAGCTCTAGTCTTCTGGATCATGGGGAAGCGCCGGGAATACATGAATAGGCTTTCTTTTCAAGGCTCTCATGGGTAAGAGCCGCTCCGTTACTCCGTAGGAGCCGCTTGAATACAGCAGAACCACTTCTTCTGCAAATTAGTGCATATGGAAGTATCAAGACGCAACTCCAGGAAATTGCGAATATAAATACAATAGTAAGCAGGATTTATACAAGACTACATATAGGGAAGCCTGATGAGGAGTCAGTGCCAACAACAAAAACCATGTTTGGACCCCATCCTAATCAGACTCTAAAGAAATGGCCAAAAAGGAACACTTTAATTATTTTTTAAAAAAAAAAAATTCAAGGTATTATTCTCTGTTTTACTTTAAAAAAAACCAAGTGAAAGAAAATAAAAGAGAAACCAGAATGTCAAAGAGGACTTGATGCAGTGGGGCTGACTATGAACAAGTCAATCATGACAAGGAAAGATGGTTAGACCAAGTTCAAGGTTCAACAGATGTTTTTATATAGCCTACAAACAAAACAACATCAACCTCCCCAAAATAAAACTAAAATAGCCTCTGCTCTGGTGTGCCCTTTACCCATCATAAAAGCATATGAAACAAAAAGCATCGGAGCATGAAACATTCAATCTTTTAAAGGTATAGATGAAGAAAAAAAAAAAAAAAGAAGTGAGACTTACAGACTGAGGCTTTCCAAGAGCATTCCCCTGCTTGACTTCAGGATTATTTTTTCCTGTTGACTCATGTTTCCCACCTGTCTTTTTCTCATTCCTAGCCTTGTTGAAGATAACCGTGAACCCCTCAGCTGATGCAGGGTCATTTACATCCCATTCACCAAACTTTGGCAATGGTCGACCCTTATCCTATAGACAATAAAATTTCACTCATGACCTTCCATTATCTAAGGAAAATGGTCAAAAATTATATATTTACGACAGTAATCAATATTGTCACATTCTCATAAGTAACATCCTGATACATGATGCCTGGTTGATGGAAAAAATCTGGCATAAGCAAGACAGGTTCACGATGTTCATGGTTTGAAAAATAATAAGTGACACAAGAAATCTTGATATGTATAATGTTCATGGCTTCATGCCAATAAGGAATTGCAAATATATTAAGTAGGGGAGGACTCCATATCTTAACCAGATTCTCGGAAAGCAACTAAAGCTAAATATATATTCCATCACCCTAATTCAGTGATTGGGAAACTCAACCTAGATTCAAATGATAACTAAGTGGGTAAATGGCATCAACAGTAAAATCAGGCTTCTCATATTAACAGGATAGATGCCAAGAACTGGTTGACCCAAAAGCTTAATCTTATTAGACAAGGGCCAAAGAATCTGTTTTATTCATTAATATGTCCCTTCACTTGAAAGACATCAGGTTGAAAGTTTGCGCAGAGCATAGACTTAGCAAATAGCCTGCATTGAAATTTAATTATCAACACAAGTGGCAAACAGGATTCAAATGCTCTGCAAATTCAGGGCATTGATAAATATCAAAAATTGTTTCCCCACAAGCTTATGCTATCAGATAAGAGCCCAAGAATATGATTTATTGACTAATAATAAAACCATAAAACTAAATAACATTAAGAAGAGCATTCTAACAAAGTACACAGTTGACACTAAACTGAGTAGTCCTCAATAAAAGACCAATTTTGGAAGAAAAAAAAGAAGGTATCCTGAAGCTTTCTATAAACACTAGGGAAAGCAAAGCAATTGATAACAAATATATGTTGATAAAGGAAATATGTCAAGAATTATTTTGTTAGCAACACTGGAGTTTCAACATAAAAATTAACCAAAATTAAGACACAAGCAAGCATTCTAAGAAAGTCAAAGGGCATGTAAGCACACAGCAATGTGGGAGGGGTGCAGTGGTAAGAAAATTCAGGAACCTCCATCCATAGCTCAACTTAAATGCAACATGGGTAACAAGCAATGAAAATGCAGACATCATATGGATGCATCACAAACCCTAATACTCAGAAAATTCAAAACACAGACACAACAAAGGCATACTTATAACGAAAAAGGTCAAATTCTTTATTCAGCAAGCATGCTTTATATCACTGACATTCATCTGTATTATCGTTCATTTGTATTATCGTTCATTCATATATTCATTTTCTTGTCCCCCTTTGTATAAACTCATTTTCATCTTTCAAATTTTGATCTGCTGACTTTTGTTTTGATGATTTCATTAACAAATATTCATCATCAATGCCAAAACATAACATTTTTTTAGCCCGTTCTAGTCTCTAACTCTAACTATGACATTGAAATATTGTTTTAAAGTCCTTATGCAAGCCTCTACTATTGCTTTGGCTTTGAGATTTGGTCAAAATTATAAATATCATAGATCATTTTTCATTCACCTTTTGCATAGAGCACAAAATTGAACTTCATTTCTTATCTTCTTTAAGAATTGTTTTGCTGGAAAAAGGGCACATGAGGCGTCCAAAATTGGTTACTCGCAAATCAATTATTCTAAGCCCTTAATAACTATGAATTTCCCGTTTGATAAAGCACACAAGAAAAAGCACCATTCAAGTGATCTCCAGCATAGTTTTATTAAAAAAGGAATGAAAACGACAACCAAGCAATAAGCCTAATTTTTTAAGTCAAAATAATGCTCAATAATTGATGTGATACATCTGTTAAGAAAAAAAAGTGCTTTAAGAAAGGTGACAAATTAACAATTTGTACCATCTACCCAACTAAAAGGAGAGATACCCATACACAAAAGTGCAATCTAACAGCCATCTCCATTCATTTCAAACAAAATTGCAGAATGAACGAGACTAAATCTCAAGATAACGTTTAAAATTTTTTTACTATATCAAATTTGAGACATTTCGGAACCAAAATCGTAAAATTAAGAAAAAGAGAAAAAAAAGCCACCAACTTCAAAAGTAAAATATAAATCTCCAAACGGATGGCAAAAAAATGGCGATTTTTAGATAAAATCTAAAAGCTAGAAACCTAATCTAGCATCAAGAAGGAAATAAAAAGCATCAAAATATATCCTCATGGAATCCAGAAACTTCATAAAAGAAAAGGAAAACAAACGAGAATCAAGCTAAAAACAGAAATCTCAAGAGAGAATCGGAAACTGTTAAAACGAAGAAGAAAAGCAATCAAACATCCAGAAGAACGCAACGCTAGAGCAGGACAGAACAAATCAAACGAAAATGAAAATCGGAAAAGAAGAGGATTAAATACTATCGAGAAAGGATGAAGAAGAGATTTACCGCCATCGTGATTGTTGACAGAGGAGAGGAGAGGAGGGGAGAGATTTTTCTCCTTCTGGCAAGCAGAGAAGCTAAGAGTTGCGACCTTCGCCGGAGGAGGTGGTGATGCTGGTGGTGATGATGATTTGATTTGGCGAAAAGAAAATGGGATTGTTGGGGCCCGCATTTCCCCGAAACCACTTCACGGTGTTTAGTTCTTCCAGCTGTTACGACCGCATGTTTTTGCGTTTTAACCGATGGTGTTGTTGGGGGAGGGCGATCTCCTGTGCTGCTCTCCATGGTAAGATTGAAGGATGCCACCTGGATTGGATTCGGATCTCGGGTAGGTAGGGAGTTGCAATGGGCTATTTTTTTTTTATAACATCATGGATACACCTCTTTGTTGGCTTCTGCATTCAAGCAAAGGAAAATGATGGAAAGGAATATCTTTTTTTTTTAAATTTTATATATTATTTAATAATTAATTTTTTTTACATTATGACTCATAATGTTATATATATCTTCTAATTTAATAATATATAAAATTTTTATAAAAAAAGATTAAAAAAATCATCTACATATCATTATCTTTTAAACAAACAGTAATGCTATTGTAAATAAATAGTAATATTATAATTATAATATTATATAGAATTGTGAATTAACAATAACATATTATTAAATGAACAAATATATATAATATTACAAGTAGACCTCTTAGTGAAAAAAACTAATTATATAATAATAAATCAAATTATAAACTTATAATATTATTTAACATTGTAATAATATCATTTTCATTAAGCAAATCAAGGCTTACTAGTTTGCTAATAGGCTTGCTGTTTTCTCCAATCAAACTAGAATGTTTTTTAAATTATAGATAAAAACAACTAAGTTTTTTGAATTGTAGATAATAATAAGTTTTCTGAAATATAGATAACTACAACCCACATCCGTCCAATTTTAATAAAAATAACTATAGATTATTTGCTAATATCTAAACCAAACAGAGTTATTGAGCTTATTTAAATTGAATGATATTTCTTTCCTTAACCGGATGTTAATTACATGTACGGCCATGCAGCCCAGGAAGTTGTCAATATCCTGTCTCATTGATTAGCCAGAACACGATAGGTCATGGCCAAAAACAAGCCAAAATGGTATAGGGACCCGACCCATATATTGACTCTTCATGCTGGCATTTTGAATCAATTAAATTTATATAAAAAGTTCGCTGCTCAACTCTGTAGCATTTGCTGCTTAGCATTTGATTATTTCTACTCAGAATTGAAATTGCCTCCAAACCAAGTCAATAATGGAGTTTGACTCTACAGTTAACATTGCTCTACAATTGCAACCAATAGGTTTTTGGTAAATGGTGACGATGAACAGCACTGAAAATACATTCATTTTCTTCTGAGAATTAAAATGAAGAATACAATTTATTTGGAAAACAAAGAAGTTACGAAGGGAGAAAAGAGGGAGAGAGAGAATTGCACAACATTGGACTTTGCTGACAGCATTTTTCTATCCTCCAAAAGATAGTTTCAATGTCACTCCTACCCTGAAAATGGGAGAGCTAATAGTTATATCAACTAATAATGTAACCCCCAAGAAAAAGAAAAGCACTGTAACTCAAGTAAATTGAAAAAGCGCTCTCATTTGACAGAACCACTTCAGAATCTGTTAATCTTTAAAACGATTTCTGTATGTATATCTGTTAATCTTTTAAAAACAGTTTTTTGTATGTATATATGCACTCAGTTTAGTCAACAATTTTCTAGAAAAACTGGGAGTTCAAAAGTCACTTAAGTGATATAATAATCAACCGATATAACTGGTAAATGAGACTTACTGAACATAAAAAGGCTCAGACAAGCTCAATAACTAGTGCGGATGCACCTCCTCCTCCATTGCAAACACCCCCAACACCATATTTCCCATTTTTCTGCTTCAATACCTGGGCAATGCAACAACAATTTATATGTTATCAGCAAGAGATCAACCTTGAGAGAGAGAAAGACACCATCATACAAGCACATACCCCCAAGAGAGTAACCAAGATACGAGCTCCACTGCAACCCAGAGGATGACCCAAGGAGACAGCTCCACCATTCACATTAACCTTTTCCTGTAGTCAAATACATAGTAGAATCCATTTGGACATTCATGCTGTGAGAGAAATAGAAAGTTGGTTTCTGTAAGTCAATAGAACTCACTGGATTAAGGTTGAGAAGTTTCTGGTTTGCAAGAGCTACAACCTGCGAAGAATTAAGCAATATCCTAAATTAGTTATCTCATGAATAACAAAGAAAACAGATTCAAATATTATAGAATTAAAATTCAAACTTACAGCAAAGGCTTCATTTATTTCATAATAATCAATTTGAGAAGCATCCAAGCCAGCATGTGAAATGGCTTTTGGAATTGCAAGGGCAGGAGCTGTAGTGAAAAATTCTGGTTCCTGCACAATGGCTCTCATGTAAGGCTCAAGTTGTCTATCACCAGAATCTCAAATGAAAATTAGATTTGAAGTGAGCTAAAACTATAATAGTATGGACACATTATGACATTGCACTTGATATAACATTTTATCAATCAACATTTACAAAGATATGCAAAAAGTACCCGAGCAGCATCAGCATATCCAGTGATCTTTGCAATCACTTGAAGTCCTAGCTTCAGTGCCTTCTCACCACTGACTAGAACTAAAGCAGCAGCACCATCACTGTCAATGAAATCAATTTTAATAAGTGAAAAATAGAAACTCCACTTCATGTCCTCATAAGATTTAGCCAAAATGAAAGCCAGTAATTGTATATAGTTCCATGAATTAAAATTTTTAAACAGTGACAAGTAACTTATATGGCAATCACCAATGAAAAAGGAAAATAACTGGCTAACAATTATTGCAAATCTTTATGGGGCCACATGCTGTGGTGCATTGATGTAAATGAAAAGAACCCCTAACATCCTAATGGCACAAAAGCATAGATTACAAACCTTATGCTAGAGGCATTGCCAGCAGTGACAGTGCCCCCATTCTCCTTGAAACTAGGTCTCAGCTTCCTCAATTTTACAGGGTCAAACTAACGTAAAGTAAATAAAAAAAAAGATGTCAAAAATATCATTACTGCAGGAATTTTAATAAACTGACTTGGCATGTTTGTCCAGTGTGCACACATATGGCAGGCATAGATGCAAACATGCAAAAATGCAAGAATGACATGTACAGAGAGAAAGTGCAGACATGGGGAGAAAACCGAAAAAGAGGAGAAAGAAAAATCAAAACATGAACTCACAATAAGAAGAGGATAAAGAAGCATCAAAACATAAACTCTCATTACCTTCCCCAAACCTTCATCCTTATCAACAATGGTTGAAGGCTTTCCCCTTCCACCAGAAACTTCAACCTGAATGTTGTTACTGTTAGTTATATCAAAAAACAATAAACCTGATTGGCAGAGCTTATTTTCTGTTCAGCTCTTTAGCTCTTTTCCTATTTGATTTTCATAAAATTTTGTTGAAAAACAAGTTGCTATTCAGCAATTAAAGTGCCCATTTGCAAGTTAAGAAAAAGCTAGGCAAATGGGCTCTAAGTATAAGGTTAACATGTGGCTTAAAAGCTATATCTAACCGGAATAATTTCACATGTAAAAGCACCACCCTCTTGGGCAGCAATACCACGCTCAAAACTCTGAATAGCAAAGTTATCCTGCAGAAATCATGAAAATAAGTCAAAACTTCATCTGCAATTAAAAGAAAATTTCAAATACTTTTTACTTTTATGCACTCAACCAACAGTGAATAAATTGCAATACCATGTTTGTGTAGAAAGAAAGGAAGGTGGTATGAGAGAAGTAGCCTAATAACTTTCAATGAAGCTATTTTTTAGATAGCTTTGGCTGACAATGATTACAAACAATTGTAGTTTCTACACCAACCAAAGCTCAGCCGAGTTGGTTACACACCCCGAATATATAGTTTCTACTTTCTTGTCAAAGATTTCCTATTGTTCACAATTCAGAGCAAACAGTCTAAAAAGTAACCTTTATAATGAACTCAAATAAGTTGTCTGTAAATATGAAACCAACATTGGATGTTCTATAGAAATGGACTCGGAAAAAATAATACCTGCTCCTCCCTTGTAATAGCATACTTTTCCGCACATGATTCAGCACAGTTTCCCATGCCACAATCATTATAAACATCCCATAACCCATCTTTTAGCATCCCATCAACAAGAGTATCATGGCCTAGCCGAGACCCCTTCCTGCATGTTAAGTATTGTATCAAAGATCTCGATTTCATCATAAAATAAGGAAATTTTAAAAAGCAAACATGATACGCACCTTGCTTCTGCTAGATACTTAGGAGCGTTAGACATGCTTTCCATCCCACCAGCCACAACTACATCATTAATGCCCAACTGGATACTCTGTGCTGCAAGCATTGTGGCTACAAGCCCCCACCACCAAGCCAGAAGAAAATGGAAATTAATAATATTTTCTCAGTACCACAATAGAATTTAAATATTAACTCTTAAATGACAGAAAACAAACCTTTCATCCCCGATGCACAGACTTTGTTCACAGTGGTACAGATGACTGAGTTAGGAATCCCTGCACCTAAGGCAGCCTGTCGAGCAGGAGCTTGCCCAAGGTTTGCACTAAGAACGTTGCCAAAGAAAACTTCTTGCACGAGTGATGGATCAACATTTGCTCTTTTAAGAGCAGCTGCAAGTTAAGATATTAAAGCTTTGAATGAAATGAATCAAAGAAGAAAGAAATTAACTCAATCTGCAGAAATGGGAATCAGGTTTCCAATTCGACCTTCTATAGCTATCGACCCAAGCTTGGTGGCAGATAAGGATGACAGAGAACCGAGAAAACCACCCATAGGTGTTCGTGCAACACCAACAATGCAAACATCTGTTCAAAACAAACCAAGAGCTTTGAAGATGCCAGAAAGAAGAATTGAAATTTTAAAGTTTTAAGCTCATCTACACATTACACTTCTCTAGAATATCCAGAGTACTACATTAGAGTGCATCACTGAAAAGCAACCACCTTCAATATTCTAGTTACAACCTATGCTGAGTATTTACTTTTATTTTAAAACCCTTACTATGACTGCAATAATTCTGTTATTTCCAAAATACCGAAATTAGTAGGTTAGGGAGTCCTAAATTAGCTTTCTGGATGAATCAGAGTGGAGTGAAAAATCACCTCTGGGCTTTATTGAATCTGAAGCTGCTGCTGGAGCCATAACTAAATACAAAGTGGATCTGCATCAATCACCAACTAAATCAGTTACTGGTTACTCAAATAACAATAAAGTCATACAAAATTCCCGGCCAACTACCAGTTATCATACAAAGTCTTTCTGTGAAAATTCTGCCATTTTATAAACTTCCATAGCAAAAGCATGTGCGGAGTTCACGTTACAATCAAAGATAAGCTTTCCCACTTGCTTTATCCTTTCACCAACTCCGAGAAATTTAAGATTAAAGACATGGATAAGCAATTAATCGACAAATTCGGATCATAACACTTCACTAATCTAAATAAAGCTTAACTTCGAATAATCAAGTTACTAGGTTCAAAATCAAAACAGTATGATCTTTAATTGAGACTTTCCTTCCCACCAAACAGGACTCGAATAAACAAGAAGAAACTAGATCTGAGATGAACAAAAGATTCGATCATAAAAAAAAAAAAACAGAAAAGAGAAAATTGAAGATCATGATGAGCAAGAGTTGATGGAAGGAAACGAGTTGTTAGTTTCCAGGAGAAAGTAAATGCCAAGAAAATCAGAGAGAAAGTGCGGGAAAACTTGATGAGGAAAGAGAATGAAGAAATCACCTGTGATTTGGTATGGCTGTTGCAGGAATTGAAGGAGGAGGAGAAGGCGAACTGAGAAAACAGAGTCAGTGACTGAGTTTATATAGAGAAGGAGAATCGGAGAAGAGGAGCTGCTGGAAATGGGGTGGGATTCTGTTATTTCCACACTACGGACCAGTTTGGTTAGACCCAATTTCAGTGGATGAGTAAAAAAATGATAAATTATAAAATGAAATCTTATTAAAATTTTATTAAATTATTAGCTTTAAAGAAATTAGTAGAAGAAAAGTTTATAAAAAAATTATTAAGGATGTATTACGTAAAATTTTGTGTAAGAAAAATTGAGAGAAAAGTTTTTCATTTTAAGAAAGATGGAAAATTTTTATTAATTAAAAATTAAATTAAAAATTAAAAATTAAAAATATCAGTTAAACCGTCTTTTTAATTATAATAATAATGTATAAAAGAAGATACATAATCTTATAAAAATTTGAGAAAAAATTTACTTCAACCAAACATCCCTTAAATCTACCCTTTTTTTTTAATACTTTTTATCCCTTATAATTAATGTTTTATTTTCTCCCTTATAATTAATGTTTTATTTTCTCAAATGGATAGGATTTTTCTTATCATTTTTTATTTTAATATAGTACAATACACTATAAGAAGTTATTTATTATTAAATAATTGTACTTTTTAATATTTGATCTTAATTTTATTAAAATATCTATAATAATTTAACATGTAACATATTTTATAAAATTAAGATTAAATTTTTATTTTTAATATACAAAATATTAAAAAAATAAATAAATATTCCCTTCTTAATTTAATTTTTTATTTTCAATATCTAATGACAAACCAAAGAAAAAAAAATCCTTCTCACTCCATTAATTATGGGTACAAATATGCAAATCACCATATTTAATGTGGCAATAACAGTTTAAGTTGCAAGAATAACTTTATTTAGAAATGGAGAACTGCCAACTTAAGCACGTGACGCACGTCGACACACAAGATTTATTTACTTTACTCATTTACCTTATTAAGACCACCATATTTTCTCCTACTCTCCACTCCATTTGTTAGGAGTATATTACCCTAATAGTGATTTTTTCGGTGGGTACTGTAAGTATGTGTTCGAGATCATTGATCTCGAACATATTATGAACATATCACTAAGACCATTGGCCTCCTCCTAAACTCAGATTCGAGCTCAAATCATTCAACAACCAAGGAATGACCTAGGTTGAAGTCTTTTTAGTTGCACAATAGCTATAGTAAGATCACACTTACCTAATTTTTGTTTTCGAGATATCTACTCTGATAGCCATGTTAGATCCCAATTATCTTATTAAAAAGGCCATATGGATACCTTATTAAGGCCTATAAATACCCCTGAGGGTCACCTACTACAAGTAATTGAAACCGACCTAGAGTTTTCCTTCCATTCTTTCTTTGAATAAACTACATTATTATTGACTTAAGTACCTCGAGGATCGACCTCAAGGTTTTTCAAGTCTATTCAAAGAGAAGGCTTGGACTAAGGAAGATTTGAAGGTTTGTTGCAATCACATTTGGTGCAATCTGTAGGAAACCTAAACTAAAAACTTTACTCTAACCACCTTTACAATATGGTTAATCACGTTTTGCCCCAATTGGAAGTCAAGCTCAACCTTTTGGCCTAGGCCAAAGATTTAATAATAATTTTCTATAATCTACACCAAACCCTCACATTCACATGGAACAACACTCTGAAGGAGGGGATGAGAACCAACCTTAAAACCTAATTCCCATTTAAGGAGATGTAATAACTACCTACTCACAATTATGCAACAGTTTGGAGGTTTCAGCTTGTGCTAGCCCGCTCCTAGCTAAAGATTACCTTAGTGATCCCTTTATTAATTTGTTGAACCTTACTCAATAACCACCAACTTAGCAACAAGAACAACATAATACCTAGTCTAATGACCGTCAGGATGCTCCAGCCTTAGATGAATCACAAGATCAATCCCATGTAGTTCCACCCCCCCCCAGCCATACCGTATGACGTTACTAAGTGTCTTGACAGCTTAGAGAGAATGGTAGCCGAGTAGTGAGGTGTTTTACCACTTGAAAACAACGTTACTTTAGTACCACATCCCATTGAATATTAACATAGTTCAAAAGCCTTATCCAACTCGATTTAGAATGCCCAAATTTGAGACATATTGTGGAACTAAAGACCTTGATGGTCAATTGTATGCTTTTTACTCCTATATGCAAGCTCAAAATGCTTTAAATGCTCTAATGTGCAAGATATTCCCCTCAACACTTCGTGGCAATGCTTGAACATGGTATTATAGCATGCCACCAAGGTCTATCAGTTTTTAAATCAAAATAGCAATTGCTTTTGCTACAAGGTTCTCTCGGAGAAAGTTGATAAAGAAGACAATGCTTGAGCTCACACAAGTAATACAACAAAAGGGATAACCTTTGAAGACTTATATGAATAGTCAATGATACAATTCTTGAAATGAGTTCTTTTGATCAAGTAGTAGGCATTGCTTCCATAATTCGAGGCTTAAACCATGAATAATTCAAGGATAATCTAATCAAATAGCCACCTGTTACTTTTGATGAAGTTAATGATAGATCTCATAAGTTTTATTACAGTTGAGGAATATGCATTATCTTGGAGATCGGCATCTACTAGAGATAACCAAAGTCCAACTTGGAAGGGGAAACAACAAAACAAAAAGAAGATAAAAGGTGCTCAAAATTAAGGTCCAATCCCTATGCCCAAGTTTGGTAAGTTGGAATCAACAACCTTACAAGCTCCATCTACAAAACCACCAAACATGTGAACTTCTTTTACACTGTAGAGATCACATATCTTTATGTAGATTAAAAAAAAATGGAGCTCAATAAACCAAGACCAATGTGATTTCCAGCTACAACTTATGACCATATAAGATATTGTGATTTTCACTGAGATCATGGCCATACAATTAAAGAGTGCAATAACTTAAAGTCCGAGCTTGAAGGTCTAACTCGAAGAGGTATGGTGAATGAGAATATTCTAAACAAAAACCAACCGAAGTTTCTAATAGAATAGGGACAATAGTCTTAAAGACCTTAAGCTACAAATGACAAAGACAGAGTATGATATCAACAGGCCTTACCACCCTTTCCATCACCAGCTCAAACCATAAATATGATAACTAGCGGACTTGAAACAGGAGGTTTGAGCTCTAAGTAACAAAAGTTGTATGTGAGAAGGTCAAGCATCAAAGCTGAGCTAAAAAAGGAAGTTTGATGATGCAAATTGGAAAAACTAGCCTATAACTTTCACCTTAACTGACTTCAATGGTGTTGTCACACGTCATAATGACCCATTGGTCACTTTTGTCCTCATCAATAATTATGAGGTTTAGTGTATTCTAGTGGACACTAATAGTGCTTTGAATATACTGTATTACCATTGCTTTAAGAACCTTAATATTAACCCAACTCTATTCTAAAAGTATGATGGCCCAATCTATGGATTTAATAACTAACCAATTCCAATTAAAGAGGTTATCATACTCAATATGGCATTTGGTGAAAGATAAACCTATCACACCCTCAGTTTGGTTTTTAGTAGTACAGATGGCTTCATCCTTTAATTTCATTATAAGCTAACCTACATTGACTAAAATCAGAGCTATAATGTCTCAATCTCAATTGTGCATGAAATTCCCAACACCTATAGGTGTAGCAACATTAAGAGGCAATCAAAAGGTGGCTAAACATTACTACATGACTTCAATGTCTCATCTTAGGAAGAACAAGCAAGTCAACTAGCCCTTCGATTCCCAAGCTCCTGGTGCTCAAGTAATGGGGGTTGAGTTAATTAACAACTGACCTGAACACAAATCTAGAGCTACTGCAACTGAGGAGGTGAAAAAGGTGCAGATTGATGATAGAATCAGGCAAGGAAAACTCAAATTGGGACTAAACTCAATCTAAAGGAGATGGAGGACCTAATTAATTTCCTTTGTGCAAACAGAGATGTTTTTACTTAGACCTCAATTGATGTGCCAAGAATCCCAACCTTTATGAGTATACACAAATTAAGTACCAATCCTTTGAAAAAGCTAGTAGCTCAAAAAAGACACCTTTTTGGAGGTGAAAGGCTTCAAGTTATTAAAGAAAAAGTAGAAAAGCTTCTTCGAGCTGGCTTTATACGAAAAGTAGAGTATTATGAATGGATCACAAATCTAGTCTTAGACAAGAAGTCAAATAACAAATGAAAAATGTGCATTAATTATACTGACCTCAATACAACCTATCTAAAGGATTGTTACCCAATGCCAAACATAGACAAGCTTGTCAAAGTAGCTTCAAAGAATGAAAGGCTAAGTCTCTTAGATGCATATTTGACATATCATTAAGTCCTTATGGCACTAAAGAACAAGGAGAAAACCTCCTTCTATGCTGTAGATGAGATTTATTGTTATGTAATGATGTCGATTAAACTTAAAAATATAGGGACTACATATCAAAAGATAGTCACAATAATATTCCCAACTCAAATTTGCAAAAGCTTAGCAGTCTATGTAAATGACATTATTGTGAAGAGTTTGAAGGTGGAAGACTACCTAGCTGACTTGTAGAAGACATTTGACCATTTGAGGAAGAATAGAATGAGGTTAAATCCTGCAAAGTGCATTTTCGATGTTAAATCATGCAAATTCTTAGGATTTATGGTTTCAAGGAAAGGAATAAAGGTCAATCCTGAGAAAATTAAGGCCATAGAAGAGCTGGAACCTTTGAAATCCATTAAAGATATTCAACGCTTAAGTAGATAAATAGCAGCCCTTTACAGATTCATTTTGAAGTCAGCCAAGAAATGCCTTCTCTTTTTCAAGATTATGAGCTCACTAGCTTAGAAGAATGAAGTGGGAAATCAAAAAAAATTTAAATGGATCTTGGAATATCAAAATGCTTTTGATGAGCTTAAGTCTTATCTTAGCTCACCTCTTCTGTTGACTAAAGTTGTTAATGAGGAAACTCTTTATTTGTACCTTGGAATCTCAGATGAGGCAATAAATATTGTGTTGGTATGAGAAGAAGGTAAACAACAAAAGCTAATTTATCACGTTAGCAAAGAACTATAAGGAGCTGAGTAGAGATACCCAATGATTGAGAAGGTAGC